AGAAAGAAAGAGAAAAGACTGAGAGAGGGGGAAGAGAGGAGCAGGGAGGAGAGGGAAAACACCCTATGATAAGGGCGCGGTGTGTCGAATGCGCCTTTGCATCCATAATCCGCCATATACAATACACCTACATTGATAGGTGTCGCTATCATCAACAGAGAACATCATATCATAATACTTTTAATAAAGGTAAAATAAAAGTGAATATGAAATGCCAAGCAGTATGAAAAAGTTCACACCCATCATTACACTTTATAAGCATTGCAGATTAACTATCACACAAAACAGCCTGTAACTGTATGTCGGATAATGATGATGGAATCACTATTACCATTATTATTTGTTGATACTAGAGTTACTGTTGCTATGGTGATGGTCGCTGTCGTTGGCATTATCATTCTTAAGTTTTTACGAGCATTGATTTTATCATTAATATTCATTACTACGTCTACTGCTGCCATTATCATTATCATAATTATCAAAACTATCATTATCATTATTATATTAATACTAATATTACTATTACCAGAAGTATTATTAATGCTATTATTATCACCGGAATTATTATTCTTATTATTGATATTACCAAAATTATCATTTTTATCAATATTATCGATATATTTAACATTATTATCATTATTATCATCATCTTTATTATTATAATCATCATTATCATTATTATCATCATCGCATATCATTAATTATTATTAGTTAATTATCACTATCATTATTATTATTATTATCATTATCATCATCATTATTATCATTATTATTATTATTATTATTATTATTATTATTATTATTATTATTATTATTATCATTATCATCACTATTATTATCACCGTTACTGTTATTATCCTGTTATAATCCTAATAATCATTATTATCATCATATCATTACTACTATTATTACTGTCATCACCATCATTACTATCATCATTACCATTATAATTTCATTACTACTACTGTTATCATTACCGTCATTATTATAATCATTAATCGTTACAATTATATCATTAATCATTACTAACCTGTACCTGCCGTTATTGTCATTATCAGTATCATTATCATCATCATTACTACCATTATCGATATCATTGTGTATCATATGAACAGTATTCACAATTACCATAACCATAATAACAAGAACATAAATAGTAATAATAAAACAACAACTACAATAGTGATAATTAAATTATAATAATACTAATAATAATAATAATAATAATAATAATAATAATAATAATAATTAATAACAATAATAATAATAAATAATAATAATAATAACAATAATAAAAACAACAATAGTAATAACAATAATCATGGCCATAAGAATAATCATAATAATCATAATATTAACAATAATAATGATAATGGTAATATAATAAATTTGATCAACAATAATACAAAACAAAACAAAAATAATAATAATAATAATAATAATAATAATAATAATAATAATAATAATAATAAAATAAAAAATAAAAACACAAAGCAACACCCAAGTAATAAAATAATAGCGATATAAATGACAAATGATCAGTGTTTATTCATCATATAACGAATAATATAATAACAATTTGCAAGGTAACAATAAGGTGGATTATGTAATAACAATTGGGAATAAAGTAATGACAATAAACAAAGGAATAACGTGTGTTTTTTCTTGGGATTATTTTGTTCCTCCTACTTCTTTCTTTCTTTCTCTCTCTTTCCTCTTTTCCTTTCTTTCTATTCAGGTTCTTCTTCTTTTTGCAACTATTCTCTTTTTTCCTTTTTTCTCTTTCTCTAAATCCTCTTCTCTTCCCCGTCTGTTTTTCTTTCTACTCTTTCTCTCTTTCTTATCCCTCATTTCTCTTATTCCTTTCCTCCTTCTCCTTTCTCTTTCCTTTTTTTCTTCCTTCCTCCTCCCCCGCCTTATATCATTCTTATCTCCCTCTTTTCCTCTTCTCTCTTCTTTCTCTTTTTTCTCTCTTTCCTCTCTCACCTCTCCCTTCTTCCCTTTTCTCTATTCCTCTCCCCACTTCTCCCTTCCTTCTATCCCCCCCCCTCTCCCAGTTACAGAATTCACATCTCTATCCTTTTCTTGTTCCTTCTCTGTCTCTCCTTTCTTCTTTAACTTCCCCTTCTTCCTCTTTTTCTTCTTTATGTCTCTTCATCTTCCACATCTCCCTCCCTCCTTCCTTCTTTCCCTTCCTCCCTTCTTCCCCCCTCTTCCTCTCCCCCTCGCTTCCTCACCTATTCTCCATCCCCTTCCCTATTCTCCTCCCTCCATCCTACCCTCCTACCTTCCTTCTGTCCATCCCACCCTCCCCCTCCCTACCCCCTTCCCATCTTCCTTCCCAAACTAACCTCCTTGCTACCTACCTACCTCCATCCTACCCACCCTCCTTCCCTCTCCTCCTTCCTCCTATCCTGCCCTCCCCTCTCCTCCCTCCCTCAACCTTCCCTTTCCCCCCATCCCTCCCTCCTTCCCTTTTTCCTCTCCCTCTCCTCCCTCCCCCCCCGCCGCCCCCTCCCTCTATCACCCCTCCTACCCTCCCCCTCTCCTCCTCCTTCCCTCCTCTCTTCCTCTCCTCCCTACCTCCCTCCGTCTCCCTATCTTCCCCTCCTTCCTTACCTTCCCACCCTCACCTCTCCTCCCTCCCTCCTTTTTTCCTTCCTTCCCTCCCACCCTCCCCCTCCCTATCCCTACCTCCCTCCCCTCCTCCCTCTATCACCCCTCCTACCTCTTACCCTTCCTCCTACCCCCTCCCTCCCTCCCTCTTTTTTTCCTTCTTCCCCACCCCTCCCACCCTCCCTCCCTCCAACCCTCCCACCCTCCCCCTCCTCCCCCTCCACCCTCCCCTCCACCCTCCCACCCTCCCCTCCCTCCCTCCCTCCCCTTCATCCCTCTGTCACGCCACTTCCCTAGAGCACAAGCCACCTCGCCCCGTCAGTATCCTATCCAGGCTTATTAATTATGCTTCTGATCAAGTAAGCTAAAAATTAGCCCTCCTTGCTTCCCGTGGTTCGACTCAGCTGATCGACTCAGATTAATTTCACTCACGCCGAGAGAGATAGGAGCAGAGAGAGAAGAGAGGAGAGAGTGAGAGAGAGGAGAGAGAGAGAGAGAGAGAGACGACTGAGAGAGAGAGGGAGAAACGGGAGGGAGAGGGAGGAGAGAGAGCAGGGAGAGGAGAGAGGGAGGGAGAGTAGAAGAGAGAGAGAGAAGACGAGAGAGGAAAGAGAGAGAGAGAAGGAGAGAAGTCAGAGAGAGAGGAAGAGAGAGAGAGAATAGAGAGAGAGAGAGAGAGGAGAAGTAGAAGAGAGAAGAGAAGGGAGAGAGTAGAGAGAGAGGAAAGGATAGAGAGAAGAAGGATGAGAGAGAGAGAAGAGAGAGAAGTAGAGAGAAGAGAGAGGAGGGAGACAGTAGAGAGAGAGAGAATAGAGTGAGAGAGAGAGAAGTAGAAGAGAGAAGTAGAGAGAGAGAGAGTAGAGAGAGAGAGAGTAGAGAGAGAGAGAAGTATCGAGAGACGAGAGACAGATAGAGAAGCAGAGAGTAGAGAGAGAGAGAACGAGAGAGAGAGTAGAGAGAGAGAGAGAGAGAGAGAGAGAGAGAGAGAGAGAGAGAGAGAGGATGAGAGAGAGACAGAGAGAGAGAGAGGAGAGAGAGAAGAGAAGAAAAAAACTCAGCAAATGAACAAAAATAAAAATCCTCGAGTCAACCATAGAGAGAAAATAAACTAAGAAAAAAGAAGAGGATTCGAATAAAAAAAAATCCTCGTTTTAACCAGGGAGGAGAAACGACGAAAGGCAGATATATTATCATTATTTTCTTTTCCTTTTTTCATATTTGCTCCCCCTTATCCTGTGACTGCTTTGTTTTCTTTGTCTTTCTTTTCCTTTTCTTCTCTTTTCGTGTTTTTTTCTTTATTCTGAGACTACTTTGTCTGCTTTGTCTTTCTTTTCCTTTTCTTCTCTTTCATGTTTTTTTTTTTTTATTTATTCTGAGATTATTTTGTCTGCTTTGTCTTTCTTTTCCTTTTCTTTTTTCATGTTTTTTTCTTTATTCTAGACTTCTTTTTTCTTTCTCTTTCACGTTTTTTCTTTAACCTGCGTCTACTTTGTCCCGTGTCTGGCAATTTGATTCTTGAACGAAACGAAAGGAGATGAGAGAAGATGGAATAGAAGAAGGAGGTTATTTTCGTTTTTTATTATCACCATGATTATCGTTATCGCTTCCTTTACTGAGATCATTAATGCCATTCTTCCTATCTCTGTCATTATTACTATCATCTTTTCTGTGATTATCATTATAAATCCTTTATTTTCATTATTATCTATCATTCTATTACTATTATTCCTCTTACTGATATCAATAATACCCTTCTTATTGTTATAATAAGTATCAAATTTAGAATTTGTGTAATTATCATTATCATTGCTTTCATTATCAACATCGCTATCAACATCGTTTTCATCATTGCGACAACTAAAGTAGATTAATTACTAATGATTATAATGACTGTATAATCGTAATTATCGATATCATTCCTATCGTCCTTATTATATGTTCACCATCGTTATCGTCATTATCCCTATTTCATCATTGAATTTTCAACATTACTTCCTTCAAAATAGTCTATGAACAAAAGGTAGCAACGTGAGCTATAGAAATGGTAGTAATATCAGTATTATTATTATTATCATTATCATTATCATTATCATTATTATTATTATTATTATCATTATTATTATCATTAGTAGTAGTAGTAGCAGCAATCTACGAATTGGTATTCGTATGAGTATTACTAATAACATATTACTACTACCAATTACATAGACCAGTATTAATAAAAATATTATTATTGGTACTACCGACACTAGCAGGACAGCACTTTTAAGTAATTCCTATTCCTAACACAGCCCCCCTCACCTCGCCCCTCCAACACCTGTCGACAAAAACAAAACAAAACAAAAAACAACACCAAAAACACCCAGATTTGGTGATCCACTTACTTGTCTGGACTATTTTCCTGCAGTAGAGAGGTTCCTTTTTCCTGAGATACTCATTGTAGACGTGAGAGCAGTTGACAGTGTCCAGCGTGTGTTTGTCGAAGTTGAACTCTCCGCACCGTGGGTCCAGGGCGCTGTTACAGTCCCAGCACATCAGGGCCTCCCCTAGACGGACACACAGAGGGAAGGAGAGTTAGAGAGTGGGTTGTGGCTCGAGTGGGTACATGGGTTATGAGTCAGGCGAACGTGGGTTATGAGTCAGGTGGGTTGACATAGGGGGTGGGATTATTATTATTATTTTTTTTTGTTTTTCTTTTGTTTAAGGGAGGATGAGGTTATGGTGTGGTTGTTGGACCTACCGTGGTGCTGTGGTTCCTAGCCTGTCTTTGGGGACTTACCTTTTCGTTGTGTGTGTTGCCGTCTTTCTTTTGTATGTTCTGACTTTATTTGGTTATCTCTATTCCCTCGCTTTCTATACTTTCGTTGGCTATTTTTGTTGTGTTACTACTGAATATCTTTAATTCGTCAGGAATTTACTCATTTTACATATTCATTACCCTCATAAAAAGAAAAAGAAAAAATTGGCCTTTCTTTACATACCCTAACCATCCCTTTTCCTCATCCAGGAATTTACCCACATATTTATTTACTCATTACCCTCATAAACAGAAAAAATAAAACAATGTCCTTTCTTCACATACCCACCCATCCCTTTTCCTCAGCCATTATTCCTATATTCTATAAAATTCACCCTTTGACTTCACTACAATATTCACCCTTACATTCCTGTTCTTCGCCTCTCACTGTTCTGTTTCAATGAAAGTGTTTCCTAGTCACTGACTTCTCTGTCTCTCTCCCCGTCAATTGCCTTTCCAATCTTCTTCAAAACTCTTGCTCTAGTCTATTCTTTGGTGAGATTATTTCACCTAAACTAATATTCTAGAAATGAGTTATCAGTCTTGCAAGAAATTCATTTATCTGTTTATATATAACTGATGTAACCAGTATTTTTTAAAATCTTAAAACGCACAACATGCTGCTTGCCATGCGGTGTTTAGTCAAGCTTAAATCGCACACGCAGTCTTTCGACGAGCTGAGGTGACCTCGAACGGAATCCATTATACGTGAAGGTCAGAGTTCAACTCCTCGGCGAAGGTTACAGCAAAGACCGGGTCAGAGGTCACAACAACAACCATTAATCGGCAGGAACCACTGCCTATGAACCTACTGATCCTAGAGTATACGCTACTTCATCATTTTTATTTTCCCTTCTTTTATTCAACACAAAGAAGCGTCAATCTACCCAAAGTGTGGAGCGATGTCAGGTAAGTGCAGTCCTTTGTAGACCGAGAAGCTACAGGTAAACCACACAATCTATGAAGGGTTTTAAAGCATCAACGCATACATATCATAAACTACAACATCGTGGAGGTATGAATACTTTCATGACGTCGAAAACCAATCGTCGAGAGTGTCGTGTAGCAGCAGGGGTTGGGTGGGGTGAGAAAGCAGGGGTTGGGGGAGAGAAAGGAAGGGCGGGGGGTGAATTTCTTGTGCAAACACGCAAGGATTCCATAACGCTGTGTCTCTATTTGGATGCGTCACTTTAAACTTAAGGCACATGACACAGCGCTATCAAAATACTGAATATCCAAGAATCAGAGATATCTAAACTGTATCCAAAAGATACTGCTTTATACCAGTGCACATGATTCGATAATTCATAAAAAATGAAGTCTATATGAAGAAACTACAGGGAAAGGCGAACACCAAACAAAAGGTACAATAATCGCTTCTGAGTCATGTAAATGGGAATTTTCTCCCTGATATCACTCATTAGATTCAGCAATAAGACGGTGCACACACTTTATGTATGGATCAACTATACGGATCTGAGCAGAGCGAGAGCGTTCAAGGGGAGTAACTAGTAGATAGAATATGATGGTGTTTCTTTTGGGACATCGAATATGCGCTCTCCTTGCGGCTGGGGGCGGAGGTGGGAGGGAGGGAGGGAAGGTGGGAGGGAGGGAGGGAAGTTGCAGAACTATACACGTTGTGTGGGCGTAAAAAAAATATATTGATTGTCTTCAAACATGCACCGGCGACGGACCTCTGGAAACCGCGGAGGGACTGTAACACGCGATGGAGGTCTCACAGCTTAGTTAATGGAAGAAAACGAGAAAAGGAGAGAGAGAGAGAGAGAGAGAGAGAGAGAGAGAGAGAGAGAGAGAGAGAGAGAGAGAGAGAGAGAGAGAGAGAGAGAGAGAGAGAGAGAGAGAGAGAGAGAGAAAAGAGAGACAAAGATACAAACCGACATAGAGGAAACAAGAATAGAAAGAAAAAAAACAGAGCTAGAAAGAGAGAAAGAAAAAAAAAAACCAGAGACCACATCCAGCAAATACCCAACACAGACCACTGAACCTCCCCCCCCCCCAACCTAACACAACTGTAAGGCGCCACCACCTCCAGACCCGCTCATGCACAAGGAGTTTGCAGGCCGAGGTTAGTGTCGGATCCATCGGCTTGAGGGACGGACGGCCGCCGAGCAACTGCCAAGCTCAGATTTCGTGAGTTATTTTCCCCGGGTTTCTGACCGTGGGGCATGGCGAGGCGAGGGGAGACGAGGGAGACAAGGTGATGCAAGGGGAGACGGGAGGGAGAGAGAGAAGAAGGGAAGGGGAAGTGAAGGAGACAAGGAGGGGAAGGGGGGACGAGGGCGAGGGAGTGGCAAGGGAGACGAGGGAGACAAGGTGAGCAAGGGAGACGAGGGAGAGAAGAGGAAAGGGGAAGTGAAGGAGACAAGGAGGGGAAGGGGGAACGAGGCGAGGCAAGGGGAGACGAGGGAGAGAAGACGAGGAAAAGGGAGGCGAAGGAGACAAGGCGAGGGCGAGGAGAGGAGAAGGGGAGACGAGGGGACGCAAGGGGAGACGAGGGAGAGAAGCGAGGAAAGGGAGGCGAAGGAGACAAGGCGAGGCAAGGCGAGGGAGACAAGCAAGGGGGGACGAGGGAGACAAGGGAGCAAGGGGACGAGGGAGAAAGACGAGGAAAGGGGAGACGAGGGAGAGAAGAGGAAAGGGGAAGCGAAGGAGACAAGCAAGGCAAGGGGAGGGAAGGGGATAAGGCGAGGATGGGGGTAGAAGGGGAGACAAGGGGAGGGAGACAAGACGAGGCAAGGGGACGAGGAGACAAGGGAGATAAGGCGAGGCAAGGCGAAACAAGACGAGGCAAGGGGAGACAAGACGAGGCAAGGGGAGAGGCAAGGGGAAGAAAAGAGTCTGTGTCGCGCGAAGGAGACGAAGACTCCGACGTTCCTCCCGGGAGCTCCTTCCAGGCAGAGGCGGGGAGGAGAGAGGGGGCGGGAGAAGGAAGGGGGGGGAGAGAGGGAGAAGGAAGGCGGGGAGGAGAGAGGGGGGGGAGAAGGAAAGGGGGGGAGGAGAGAGGGGTCGGGAGAAGAAGGGGGGGGGGTTATGTAAACATGCTAGGTATTTGAATATAGACAAGGAAGGAGGGGGGTCGACAGAAAGTTCTTTTGAAGGTGAACAAAAAAGAAGACGCTACAAAGGCCTCAAGTAGACGGATCGTGTAAGATATTTGAGAAGTCCCATTGCGAAGGCGGTTTGACGGAGGAGGGGTGGGGGGGGGGCGGGGAAGGGAGACACACCACAATGCAGTCAGCGGGTGAGGGGGGCTGGGGAGGGGGAGGGGAGTGAAGGAGTCCACAAGTGAATAGTCTAAGTCAAGCGTGAGCAAATTTCACGTCAAGCTTTTCAAGCAGACGTCTTCACGTTTCTTTAAAGTGAAAATATACGACAGTCAGATTTTTTTTTCTTTTTGCCTCCACAACATAGTTCAACTTCGAGGAGAGAGAAAAAAAAAGAGAAAGGGTTAAAATTAAAGTGAATGTGAGCCCTTTCCTAACGACCACAACAAAACATTTTATCTTCGTTTCAAAAATCTTTGTCATATGCCTCCACATAAAAAATCTTAATCCAAACCATTCACAAAAAAACCCTGCTAGTTGTAACATAGCATAGCCAGGTCCTTTGTCTTCGCAACTGTATCCATCACGCTAAGAATTACAAAAGAAACAGATCCATCTGCCATAAAATCCCTAGCTAACACCTCATAAATGACCTGCATATACACAATCAGATACCCTGCCTCTAAAAGCATTACCCAGTATTCACAACATTTCCTACCGGGAGCCTCAACTGGAGAAAATGCCCACCAACCCAAAAGATTAACAACCAGACATACCTCACAAAACACAACATACTTTTGGAGTATTATCCAACAACCTAAAGCATTACTAGAAAACCCACCTTCACGGCATTACCAGTCACTCGAAGACATACCTGGCACCCAAAGCATTACTTAAGAAGACATGACCTGATACCCAAAGAATTCCAAAACAGAGCACAACGAAAACGTGATAAATAACCCCTGAAACAGACCACCAAGACCTAGAGTTTCAACCAGTTTCAACCAGCCCCTGAAACAGACCACCAGGACCCAACGTGCCCTTAGAGTTTCAACCAGTTTTTTTCAAAACCAGCCCCTGAAGCAGACCACCAGGACCTAAAGTTCAGACACCAGGACCCAACCAGCCCAGACCTGAGTTTTCAAGCCCTGAAGCAGACCACCAGGACCTAAGTTTCAACCAAAGTCCTCAACCAGCCCCTGAAACAGACCACCTAAAGTTTCAGAAACAGACCAGACCCCAGCCCCTGAAACAGACCACCAGGACCTATAGTTTCAACCAGCCCCTGAACCAGACCACTCCCTTTCAGAACACAACCCAGCACCGAAACCACAACCCAGCGAGACCCAACGAGACCCAACCGGACCCCTGGCTCCTCCCCTCAGCACAGGAAGGGCCCTGGCGATCGAGGTTCCCCAGTGGGCGGACGTGACGGGCGTGCGGGCGTGCGGGCGGCGAGTGGGCCCGGTGGCACGGGTCGAGGCCGAGAGTTAAAGGGACTGAAGATATGGCGGCCGTTTCAAACCTTTGTTATTGATTGCGTGTAAGGGGGGGGCGAGGGGCGCGGCTTGGACTCACTTTTGCATGCATTTACGTAGGTTTTTATGTGATGTATCTATATGTATGTTTATGCACATATACACGGGAACACACGCACATATTCAAACATACATACATGTACAAACGGACATTCACTCGCGCGCAAGGGTAGTTTTAGTGATAAACGTGGTGAAATGTATTGATTTGCTGATGTATATTTTAGGCATATACGTTTAAGAAATGCTTTACCGCCGTAAGTTATCAAAGAGTTTCTTTTATTCAAATTCATATTCGTTCACGTTATCCTATTGCTTTTACCACAACAATGTTTCTTATGTAATCATCTCGTTTTGTTTTTTTGGGTTAACACGCTGTTCCGAGTTCTTTAATTAGTAATCGAATTATCGAAAATCATGAGTGAATGCGTTTACCGATTTTAGAAAACGGTCATCGTCAACTTATTGGGACTATTATCACGAACATCAGCACTGATAATTAGCTTTATCACTTCTCGTATATGCACTATCATCGCATCATTAACCACGATCGTCTGAACAGTTTCATTTCTCGAATGAAGTGCGAGCGAAAGGGAAGCAAGAGGTGCACCAGACGCGAGAGGCGGCGTCGGGCGGGGGTCACAGGCGCCACCGCACGCCGCCGGCCGCGCTGGTGGCGTGCCCTGGCGCCACCGCCATCACGAGGGGCCGCGGCTTCGTCGATGGAACCAATACGCCGGGAAGGGATCAGCGGCGAGGGAATCGAGAGCGTCGCAGAACCGGCGCCGCCGAGAAACTTCCCCTGGTGTTTATGTCTACGGAACAGCTACCCGCGCTTCACTTATTCTGCGCGCGGCGGGCGCGACTCGCGGTCGGGTCGACGGGACGGCTCGGCTCCATGGAGGGTGGAGGGGGAGGGGGGGACTTGGGCGTGGACTCTGAGAATCAGCCTAATCTTTTTCTACATTAAAGTTTACGACAGTAACACATCCATTACAAAAAACGGAGAACGAAAAGTCACGAAAACACTGA